AGGCAGAGTTTACGCACTCAGCACGATGAGGATGCCCAGGATGAAGAGGACTCCCGCGATAGTGAGGCCTCCGATTCGCAGGGAGTTGTAGTCTGGGGGTAACAGAGAGGCGGGGAGGGGCAGACAGGGAAGAGGAAGGATGGAGGAGGGCAAAATGGGGAGAAAGTGACACAAGCTATGCAAAGTCTATTGACTGACATATTCTGGATAGAGACAGAAGTGCTCTGGAAAATCAGAATTTCCACGCTAACTTATGTTATGACCTCTCTTTTTTGTAATATCAAAATACTCTAAGCAACCATCAGCTTGCAACCGGATTGCCTTAGCCTCATAAGGCGCTGCCCGGCTCAGGTGAGCAAGCGCTGCCCCAAGACAGGAAATTCCTCTAGAAAGCAAAAAGTAATATTACAACTGGCTGATTAATAAAAGCAATGATAACAAAATCAATATTGTAAGACAAGGCAGTACTAGAACATGCTAAAAAATAATTAAAGTTCTTTTACTGCCCGGACCAGAACCCAAATCTTATCACTCTACTCTCTTACTTAAGCTTTTATTGCTCAGTCTTTAAATGAGGAATCTTACTATCTCCCTTAGTGATTTATCTACCAGAAAACTCCTCCACCCTAGTCTTCCACTTTACCTTCTTTCACAACTTCTCGTTGGCCCCCCGACCTCACCTTATCCCCCTTCACATCTCCAGCCCAGCCTCCAACCCTAGTCCTGGACTTTACTTTACCCTCTGAGATGTCTCAATGAGAATGAAGATCATTAAGTAGCATTTAAGGTTTAAAGGGACTTTATTTTAGCCAATCAACACTGTGGTAAATATAACAATGTTAGCCTTAAATTTTATGAATTTATGTGCCTATCCTAACAAACAGATATTATAATCTCAGCTAAAGGGCAATACGATCCTAAACTGTTCTTAGGAAAAAAGATGATTGTGATCTCTCAGCCCAGTCCTCCTACTGCTTGCTCCTAATGTACAAACTTATGCTAAGAGCAGAGCAGGAAGACTTGCACCCAACTCCCATTCCCGTGTCTTCCTCACGCCCGCTCCCCTTTTTTCCTTTTTCCCCCCTTTTCTAGGAATCTCCACTCGCCAAAGCCACTCCCACCTTGAGACCCTGCCCGTTGCCCCCCAATAACCCGTGATCGGGACAAAGAGTCTCTGACAAGAAAGGAGTAGTGGTGAGGAATCAGGGAGGAGAGAAGAAAGGGCTTCAGTGAGAGGAGAGGAGAAGATAGGCGAGGAGTCTGGGCAGAGGGGGCCATGAAAGGCAGATGTAAGAGCAAAAATCAGAGACAGAGGGATGAGACAAGAGAAACAGACCAGGGGATGTCAAGACAGTCAGAGAGCCAGATGGAGGGCAGAGGAGACTGACAGGTCTGTGAACAGTGAGAACCAGAAGGCTAGACATGGACAGAGATGCCAAACCCACACCCCCAAACTCAGCTCCCCAGGATAGGCAGACGCCCCTCCTCCCTCACCATAGGTGAACGGGTCGTGTTCCGGTGGAGCTTCTGGAAAGAGAGAGCGAAATCAGGTGTTGCGGTACTTCCCAGCATCCTGTACAAGGAGGGTCGTCGAGACTCTTTTGGGGTGCTACCTTCCTGGGCTGGGAATCTGGGGGCTGTGGGCCCCTGAGCAGGCTGCCCATGCTATCTGGCCCTTGCTGCACCCCCCTGTTCTGCCTGGGTAGGGCAGGGCTTAACTGTGATGCCACCATCCAAGGGAAGCCTGTTCCTACCCCACGCTCCGACTGGGCCTGACCCCGAGCATCCTCTCCCCTCCCCCCCAATACCAGCCTGTGACCAAAACCCACATAAAACCCCCAACTTCCTGGCACCTCAACTGACTCAGCTTAGTTGGCGTGTCCAACTTATATCTCCTGAAGGGCTTCCTCTCTGCCACCTTGGGGCTAAGGGGGCAGTGGGCTGCCAGACTCACCTGAGTTGGCCACGGTGACCAGACCCACACAGAGAACCAAGACGTGGCTGAGGAGTGCCATTCTCCTGGGGGACACCAAGGGTCAGGAAACGTGTGACCTCACCGCCCTCCCACCCCCACAGGCCCTGAACCGAAGTGGCTAAGTCAGAAAGACAGTCAAAAGACGGACAACTCCAGAAGTTAGCCACCCAGCCTGCTACCCTGAGAGACAGGGGTGCCTCTCCTTGGGGACACAGTGGCAGCAAAAGCACCCCACTCAAGGGATCACAGCAACAGCACAGTGCTGGCAGGATGAGACGGCCCCCAGGCCTGGGCCTCCCCCAAAGCAGGCCCAGATTCCCCACACCTATCCTCCTGGGCCTTGCCTTCCCCAGGTAGAGCGGCCAGAGACGGACGGCCAGAGACACGCCCAAGGGCCCACCTGCCCGCTCACCACCGCGGCCTTGCTGTGTCCGACCAGCGCGGCTCCCCTGCCCTCCGCAGCCGCCCGCTCTCTGCCTGACCCTGGGTATAAATATCTCCCACTTCACCCTGGAGGAATTTGCCTCACACAGGCCTCCATGGCAACAGCCTTCCTTCCCCCACTCGGGGGTCATGCTCAGCCCTACCGGGGTGAGGCCGGACTGCTGAAGCCCCACAGGCTGCCCCAAGGGGAACGGCCAGAGCCTCGCCTCTCTAGAAAAGGAAAAAAAACACCCCTCCTGCTTCCTGGGAGTGACATCTTTTAGGAGCAGAGAACACTCGGGTGACATGAGGCCCAGGCCATAGGAATTGCGAGACGGAAGACAAGACAGAATCCAGGAGTGTGGACACACCAAGTGTGCACACAGCTGCAGAACTTTGGGTTCGGGACGACTGGAGATGTAGACACCTCCTCTGGGCCTCGGTCGGTGTCCCAAACAGTGACAGGGCCAGGCCTGCACATGTAGGGTAAAAAGCCCACCCCAGCGGGGCGCACGCAGCTGCAGGGAGGGAGGAGCCCACCCGCACCCCCACCCCGGGGAGCCCCAGCATCCCAGTGCTCTCTCCCTTCCTTCTGGTCTGGCCTGCCTGGGAAGCTGCCTCGGGCTGGCCACTCCTGCTCCCAAAATAGGCAGCACAGCCCAGAGTACAGCCTGGAGGGGAGGGGCGGGGCAGGACGCTCACCCCAATCAAGTCGTCCCCTGCTGAAAGAAGGCCCCCAAGCATCCGGCTGTGCCCCCAGGCCTAGCACTTTGGACCCCCTGGCCCAGAGCTGGCGCCCCGCCCCAGCGGTCTCCCCTCCCAGCCCCACCCCAGCTTTGCCCTCCCCAACCAGCAGCTGTAACTGGAGCCTGGGCTGGAGGGGGGCCAGGGGGCGGCCCCCAGCCCAGCCCTCCCTGGCCTGGCCTGCCTGCGAGGTTAACTCTCTCAGCTCAGATGGAGCAACAGCAGGCGCTGGCCTGGGGAAAGGGGGGGGGGAGGTGCCACCAGGCAGGACTTTGCAGAACAGATCACAGGCGCACCCAGACACACATGCACCCCAACTGCAAGCCTCCAGCGGCCCACTCGGAGCCTGTGATCCAAGTGGAAGGGCGAATGTCAGCTGTTTTCTGCTCTGCTTCTTGGGCATTACCTAAGCCTCCCACCCTCCCCCACCCCCGCCTGAGGGCTCAGAACCCCACTCATCCCGACCCCAGTGTTCTATGGAGCCCCGGGCCAGCGGGCTGCTTGGAGGACGTGGCAGTGTGTGTATGTGTGGTCTGTGCTGGCTGCAGGGCCCCCTGGGGGGTGCACACACATACACCCCCAAAGGCTCACGCAGACGCACACAACCAAATACCCACATGCACATACATGGCAGCACGCGGGCAGACAGATTCGCGCACACAGAGAACACAGCCCGCAGCCAGCACCTCCTGCAGCTCCTCACCGGCACACTGTGAGGGCACAGTCACCAAGCGGGGGCCGGGGAGACAGGCAGAGCACAGCCACAGCCCGCCACCCTCACACAAAGGTGCAGCGGACGCACACACATTCATACCTCAGGCCTGGCGCAGGCACACAGCTGGCCAGACCGCGCAGACCCACCTGCCGTGTTCCCATACTCCGAGGCGCCACCAGAGGTGCGGAGATGTATGGCACCCCAAATCTCGCACCCCCTGTGCTCACGGGGCCTCTCGGGCCCTCCTGAGGCCCACGCACCTGGTGTCCTCGGGCCAGGGCGGGTCACAGGCACTGACGACAGACCCCTGATCAGGCCTGGATCTGCCGCCCCAGTTGTGTGACCTTGGGGGACCCACGTGGCCTCTAGGACCTGTTTCCCGTCCTGGGAAGTGGAGAAATCTAAGGTCATGCCTATGACCTGGGCGAGGCTGGGGCCGCTGACACCACATTGTCTTATTATTAACTCCCCTGTAGAGACAGCCCGAGAGCAGTGCTTAGGGAGAGGACTCCTCTCCCATGGTCCCCCTGGTGGCTGAGGACAGGTAGCCAGGTACTGGGACAGCAGGAGGGCCCGGTGGGCACTCACACTCGGACACGCGCTCACACACACATGCAGACACGCACACGTGTGCCCGCGGCCTCGGCGCACCCAGGCGGCATCACGGCCTGAGCCTCTGCCCCCCAGCCTTGCGCCCCAGGGCCACCAGTGGGCCCCCTTTTAACCCTTGATTTTTACGCAGTGCTGGGGAGGAGTGATGAGCCAGCCCTGGAGGGCCCCTGGCCGGCCGAGTCAGTCCCCAGAGTGGAGGCTCAGCTGCTTTCCAGCTGTGTGAAGGGGCAAATTAACCTCCCTTGGCTTCGTTTCTCCTGTGAAAGGAGATAGTCACAGTATTCAGCTCAGAGGGTGCAGTGACCATCTGAGATTATCCAGGGAAGGGCCCTCCCTGGTTGCACTATGAAGCTGTCCGCGGCCATTGCAGCACGAGTTGGATCCCCGGCCAGGGAGTGACCCCCAGGGCGCAGCAGACCTCTCCTGTCTCCCCGCTGCTCCCCTCGGCAGTGTGTCTCATTGGATCTGACTGTTCTGCTCCCTGCCCTTATCTCTGGTGAATTCTCTCACCTCCACACCTCTGGCCTACACCCCCGTTTTGGTAAGCATAAATAAATAATCTTCTTAAAACATTAAATTATCCAGGGAAAACAGCTTAAAAAAAAAAAAAGTAAAAGAAAAAAACAGGGCCTGGCATACGTTCAGAAGCCATGAAAAGAAGTTCGTGCGGCTTGTCCCATCCTCGGGGTTGTCACCAGGAGTGCAGGTCTGGGTGCTCCGTGAGGGAGGCGCCAGGCCTATCTGGGTCCCCTCTGTGTCCCTGGCACGGAATTCCTGATCTTTTCAATGACTTGCTAAAGGGGTTCACGGTCCCTCTACAGCAGAGGTGACCGCACCCCGCAGCGCCCTGTTCATATCACAGAGCTGTCCGAGTGCAAGACAAGTCCTTGGCGCCCCAGCTGCGCAGAACCCCAAGCAGAAGACACTGGCTCGTCACCTTCCTGGGCACCTACCCTCCTGGGAAGTGGTGCCACCAGCGCCCATAAGGCAGATGGGAAGACTGAGGCTCAGGGTGGCCGAATGTCTCAGGCCCAGTCTGTGTGACTCCGCCCGGGCTGGCTGGTGGTGTGGAGCCCCCCTCATCCTGCGCGCCCAGGCCCCCCAGTCCTCCCACCCCCAGCCTGTGCACTAGCAGACATGGGAGGAGCTGAGAGCCTGCCTGGGGCACCGGGCGGCCAGGCTCCGATCTGTGCCTGCTGCCATGAGACAGATGGCGGCGCCACCCTCAGCTTCCCCATCTGTAAAGTGGAGTGAGTTACACCCCCCGCCCCGACGGGTGTTGTGAGCGCTGAGTGAGTAACTGGCACGGGGTGACTGGCCCACCGGAACGGCTCAATAAATATGATTACTGCTATTCCAGGCTGGGGAAGCGAGTGTCTGTCATGCGTTTGTCTTATTTAGCGGACGAAATCCACCCACATTGCTAAAAGCTTCGTCCAAATGAAAACAATCAATAGCTACGAGTTCTGTTCTCCAATGACAGAACGCACGTCCGCACGGGCAAGCCCTGGAGCCGGCTGCGGGCGTTCTGGCTCTGCCCCAGATGGGCAAACTCCACCTCAAAAGACTTGACCTCTCTCCTCAGTTTACCTCCGCTGCGTAACACACCACATAATAGCATCAGCCTCAGAGGGCCAGAGAGGCAGCAGAAATGAGCTCATGGGTGAAATTTTAGAGGGGCTGGTACAGAGTCGAGCTGAAGACGGGGTGGGGGCGTGGGGGGATGGGGGAAGCAGCACCACTATCCTCATGCCCATGTCCCCAGGAAGCCAGGCGCGCTGGGGGTTAATTCCAGGGCAGGCAGGGAGGGCGCGAGCCTGGGGCAGGGCAGCTGCCGCGCCTGGCATGGCCACCAGAGGGCGCAACGGGACCTGAGCTGGCCCCCTGCTAAGCCTCGCTGACAGCGCCCACCACGCCCTCTCGAGTCCGGGGAGGGGGCTGGCCGGGAGTGGCCCTGTGGCTCCATCCCCCAGGGGCCTGTCCTCCCACCACCCCTGCTGGCAGAGCCCCTAGGTCCCCACCCTAGTCACACCCTCCAGCCTCTGCACTCACGCTCTGGGGTAGCCTGAGGCTGGGCCGGGGGCTGGCTGGGAGTGGCCAGAGCGCTCGGGCTGGCGCGGTGGCTCCTCCCCTCCCGTGGGGCCTTCCCCTTCTTTCCCCAAGGCTGCTCTTCCTATGGCCTCTGACCCCTCCTCCTCATCCTGCCCCGCGGGGCTCTCCCAATGCTCAGTGAATCCCTTCCCCAAAGCTCCAGGGAGAGGGGGCGTGGGAGGAGGGGGAGAAACTTGGAAGTGGAAAGAGGGGTAGGAAGACCAGAAATAAAGACACCGGGCAGAGGGAGACACACAGACACAACAGAAAGCGGCCAGCGGAGACTGGCGACAGCAGCGAGTGGGAGCTCACTGAGTCAGACATCCAAAAAGAGAGAGCGGAAAAGAGGGAGAGAGAAGTGAGCGCCCTGGAGGCCACAGGCAGGGGCAGACTGGACCCGGACGAGAGTGAGGAGAGGAGCCAGGCAGCGCTGCCAGCTGGCGGCATGGAGGGGCGCCTGGCATGGGCCATGTAGTGGCAGCAGGTTGCCGAGCTGGGTGGGCAGCTAGACGCGGGTACCTCTGCAGGGGTGAGGGGGCATGGGAGGGGCAGGCGGTCTGTTGCTGCTGCTGCTGGCCGGGGCCGGGGCGGGGGCAGCCTGGAGACCCCCCAAGGGAAAGTGTCCTCTGAGCTGTTCCTGCTCCAAAGACAGCGCCCTGTGTGAGGGCTCCCCGGACCTCCCCGAGAGCTTCTCCCCGACCCTGCTGTCTCTGTGAGTGTCGGCCTCGGTGGGCCCTGGGAGTGCGAGACCTGGGGCCTCGGTGGGGGGCATCTGGGGAAGTGGGCAGCAAAGGATGCTTGGATCCTGAAAGGGGGCTGCTGGGATTTGGGAGGGAGTGGAGGGGAATTCTAGAGGGCAGGGGCAGCATTTGGGGTCCTGGAGGAGGTGCAGCGGGGAGGGGTGGTCAGTGCTGCCGGGCTCCCTGCCAAACCAGGAGGGCGAGGACCTGACTCCTCTGGGGTGGAAGGGCACTACCCCCATGTGGCCTCCCAGGGCCCCCAGACGGGACTGGCACATTACAGCGGCTTTCTCCTTGACCCCCCCACCCCCCATGTCCCCAGCTCCCTGGTCAGGACTGGGGTCACCCAGCTGAAGGCCGGCAGCTTCCTGAGGATGCCGTCTCTGCACCTGCTGTGAGTGGGGCCCGGCCGCTCGAGGGCGCTGGGTCGTGCATGAGCGTGTGGAGGTTGGCACACGTGTGCGCATGTGTGTTCATGGCGTGACTGTGGGCTGGGGATGGCGCCGAGGACCAGTGTCAGATAGGGTGTGGTGACATTTTTTTCTTGCCCCCTGTCAGCCTCTTCACATCCAACTCCTTCTCTGTGATTGAGGATGATGCCTTTGCTGGCCTGTCCCACCTGCAGTACCTGTGAGTGAGGCCGGCGTGTGGGAGCAGGAGCGGGGCCCCCAGAGCGGGGAGGCAGGGGCCTGTCGCCCTGGACCTGGGTCCCTCCTGGCTTCTTGGTGGGTGGGCTCAGGGGCTTCACTGTCATCTCAGCCTGCTCCCCTCCCGCCTCAGTGCATCCGGACCCACGAGGACCTGGGTGACCGAGACCATTTTGACCTTACCTGCCTGTGGAATCCAGGGAGGGTGCCCAGAGACTAGAGAGAGGAACTGCTTCAAATTAACAGCTTTGAGTTGGGGGGTGGTGACGGTGGTATTGGTGGTGATGGTGGTAGTTGTGGTATGATGGTGTGACGGTGGTATTGATGGTGGTGGTGGTGGTATTGGTGATGGCGATGGTAGTGGTATTGGTGATGGTGATTGTGGTGTGGTAATGGTGATGGTGGTGGTATTGGTGATGGTGATGGTGGTGGTATTGGTGATGGTGGTTGTGGTGTGGTAATGGTGATGGTGGTGGTATTGGTGATGGTGGCAATGATAATATTGGTGATGGTGATGGTGATGGTGGTGGGGGGGTAGTGGTGGTATTAGTGGGGTTAGTGGTAGTATTGGTGATAGTGGTGGTATTATGTTGTTTGTGGAGATGGTGGTATTGGTAATAGTGGTAGTGTTGGTGATGGTGGTGGTGATGATAGTGATGGTATTGGTAGTGGTGGTGATGGTGATGGTGGTGATGGGGTTGGTGGTGGTATTGGTGGTGGTGTTAGTGGTAATATTGGTGATAATGGTGGTGGTGGTGGTATTGGTGATAGTGGTGGTGTTAGTGGTAGTACCAGTGGTAGTGGTGGTGGTATTGGTGGTGGTGGTGGTGTTAGTGGTGGTGTTGGTGGTATTAGTGATGGTGGTTGTGGTGGTATTGGTAATGGTGGTAGTGTTAGTGATGGTGGTGGTGATAGTGGTGGTATTGGTAGTGGTGGTGGTGATGGTGATGGTGGTGATGGGGTTGGTGGTATTAGTGGTAATATTGGTGATAATGGTGGTGGTGGTGTTACTGGTGGTATGGTGATGGTGGTTTGGAGGTGGTGGTATTGGTGATAGTGGTGGTGTTAGTGGTAGTACTGGTAATAGTGGTGATGGTGTTGGTGGTGTTGTTAGTGGTGGTGTTGGCGGTATTAGTGATGGTGGTTGTGGTGGTACTGGTAATGGTGGTAGTGGTAATATTGGTGATGGTGTGGTGGTGTTAGTGGTGGTATTGGTGATGGTGGTGGTGGTGTTAGTGATGGTGGTTGTGGTGGTACTGGTGATGGTGGTTTGGAAGTGGTGGTATTGATGATAGCGGTGGTGTTAGTGGTAGTATTGGTGATAGTGGTGGTGGTGTTAGTGGTGGTGTTGGTGGTGGTGTTGTTAGTGGTGGTGTTGGTGGTATTAGTGATGGTGGTTGTGGTGGTACTGGTAATGGTGGTGGTGGTAATATTGGTGATGGTGTGGTGGTGTTAGTGGTGGTATCAGTGACGGTAGTGGTGACAGTGTTGGCGGTGGCGGTGGTGGTGGTGACAGCATGGCCATACTAGCCTCCGTGGTGGCGTTGATAATGGTGGCTGGTGATCCTGTCACTACTGTTCATGGAGAAGTGGTGTTACTGAGGATGACAGGGTGGGGGTGATGTTGATAAAAATGCCAGACCAACAGCGAAGCTGGATCGGCGATGCTGATGATGGAGTTGGATACTGATGAGGGGTTGGCGTCAAGATAATTAGATGTGTTGAGGGTGTCGGTCATTACGGTATTGCTGTTGATGTTGGCGATGGCTGTAGGGAGGTGCTGGTGCTGGTGTAACCAGTGTCACTGGTACTGAATTTGGTGATGATGGAGGTGCTGGCGTGCAGCCATCATGGCAGCAGTGGTGCTGGTGGTAGACGATGGTGTGAGTGTTGGGATAACGGGGCTGCTGTGGCTGGTGGTGAAGATGGTGGCTGCCACCTTGGTGTTGACACACAGGCTGTGTTGCCGGTGTGGGGTTTGGTGCTGGTGGCCTCAGTGTTGAAGATAGAAGTGGAAGGTGATGGTTTTGGTGACAGTGGTGGCCGTGATGGTGGTGACATGGCATGGTGTTGGTGATGATGGCCGTTGCGGGTTCCAGGGTTGGTGATGGCGGCAGAGGTGGATGCTGGATGGTGGATGTTGGTCCCGTGGATGGTGGTAGTGTTGGTGGACATGGTGCAAGAGCTGGCATTGGAGGGCAGTGAGGTGATTAGGACAGCGTTGGCCATGCGAAGGGCCAGGCTCTCGTCTCTATGGGTTGTAGGCTAGGACCTTGGTGAAGTGAGGATTCCGGGGATGCTTCCTTGGGGTCACACAAGGTGTTGGGGGAACACTGAGCAGGTTCCTTTGGCTTACAGTTTCCATGGGGTGAGTCCCCTCAAGTACTGTGGGAGGGGACACAGGGTTCCCCACTTACCCCCTTCCCTCCACAGCTTCATCGAGGACAATAAGATCGGCTCCATCTCCAAGAACGCCCTCAGAGGACTTCGCTCACTCACACACCTGTGCGTGCCTCTCAGGCTCACCTCTGCACCACCCCAGCCCGCCCCGCCCGGCACCCCGCACCCCACGCCCAGGGACCCCCGGTATCTGAGTTGCTGATGCTCCTTCCTCCTCTTCTCTCCCTCCACCAGGAGCCTGGCCAGCAACCAGCTCGAGTCCCTCCCCAGGTTCCTGTTCCGAGGTCTGGAGACCCTGACTCACGTGTGAGGCTCCGGGGGGCTGGGTAGGTGGTTGGGTGGGACTTGGGAGGGGACAGCGTGTCGGTTCGGGGCCGGCACAAGCAGGGACGGCTGCAGTGGCTCTGACATGCTGTGCACACAGCCCATGGGCGCTGTCTGAGCCCTTGCTGGGGTGGGGGCGGGGGCGGGCAGCGTGGCCTGCAGCTGCTGAGGTCACCGCGCCGGCCTCTTGCCCAGGGACCTCCGCGGGAACCCGTTCCAGTGCGACTGCCGCGTGCTCTGGCTGCTGCAATGGATGCCCACCGTGAACGCCAGCGTGGGGACCGGGGCCTGTGCGGGGCCCCCCGCCCTGAGCCACATGCAGCTCCGCCACCTGGACCCCAGGACGTTCAAGTGTAGAGCTATAGGTGGGGGCTTTCCCAGAGGGGTGGGAGGGAGACAGGGGTTCCCAGAAGAAGGCAGAAGATGGGGGAGCAGCAACCGGCACCAAGGGGTTCGCCTCATCCCTGCTGTGCCGTTTCCTGGCTGTGAGACCCCCGACTCGGCCGCCTGGCCTCTCTGAGCCTCAGTTTCCTCATCTGTAAATTGGAGGTGACAAACGGTCACATAGTGATGCTCAGGCCTGGGTCAGGAGGGCGCCCTTGTAATGAATTCAAGCCTCACCATTTGAACACTGTTTCCTATGATCTTTTTGCCTTTGCATAACTATTTTCTGTTACCTTTTTGGGCATCAGGTGGGGCACAGCAGCAGTGAGGACCCCTGGGTTCTGCCCTCACAGAACCCACAGACCAGGGGAAGGCAGAGACGATGACCCAGAGAGGAACGGGCCAGAAAGATCAGGACAGGGATGGGGGCAGCCTGGAGTTGGGGAGCCCCGAGCTGGAGTCAGGAGGGCTTCCTGCAGGGGGGGACATTCGAGCTCACACCTGAGAGCTGTGACTATCCCCAGCAGCCGCCCAGCACTGGTGTGTGAGACACATGTTGTGGGACTCACAGGATGAGCGAATTTAGCTCGAGGCTCATTGCTCAAACAGTCATTCACTGAGGTCCACTCTGCCAGGCCTGTGAGGGGCGATACCCATACTGCACAGACCAAGATATCCCCATGCTCGGGTGCAGCCGTAAGGGCGGGCAGAGGATACCACATATAGCATCACACTAATAGGCGTATGTTACCCATTCTGACCACTGCAGGGGGGTCAGGGCGTACCTCACTTCCCATGGGGTGTGGACGAAGCTTCTCTGAAAGGGTGGCGTTAGGCCAGCGTTTAGCTGGGTGAGACAAGACAGAGGGTGTCCGAGACAGAGGACACAGCATGTGCAAAGGTCCTGTGGCCACAGCTCGAGCTTGTCCTGCTTGAGGGTCCACGGTAGGATTTGGGGAGTGAAGGAAGACAAGGACGCAGCTGTGGGGTAGGAGGCAGGGGCTGCACCCAGGAGGGTTTTGAAAGCTACAGAGAGGGACCTGGACTTTATCCTGAGAACTGAGGAGAGCTGGGGAAGGTTTCAAGCAGAAGCTGATATGACTTGATGGTGATTCTTAGATCTCTTTCGGGTGGGCGTCCTCGGGGCCCCCGTTCGCGTGCGGTGAAGCTCTGTTCCCTGCACACCGCTCCCAGCTCCATCGCCACCCACTGGTCAGCCTCCCCTAAGCGGCTGGAACAAAGAGGCTGAAAACACCATGAGTTAAAGCGGGTGGTCTGAGCTGAGTGGTCCTGGCCCGTGGGGCAGCCCCGGGTATCCCCCTGGTTCAGGGTCGAAGTTGGGGCACTTCCACACGCCAGTTAGGTATGGGAAGGTGGGAAGAGACCGAGACCTGGATGAACTGTTTTATGCAGGCAAGCAGAGGGTGGGAACTTGGACACAAGTGGCCACACCTGCCTGGGACTGGGGGGCAGTCACGGAGCCGGAGGGGTGCTGAATATTGTGGCCTCCGCTGGGCAGCTGTGTGCCCTGACCCTACCCTCATGCATGGAGAGGCAAGGAGTGGGGGGTTGGGGGTTTGTTGGACCACTGGCTGCCAGCTGCTCGTCTTCCCTCATCTGTAGAGTGGGCATAGCAACGGAGCACGCCTTAGGCGTGGTGTGGGATTGAATCAATCAGCCGATAGTCTGTTTCCAAGCAATTGTTTAACGACACAGCTTAGAAAATAAAGTATAAACATGTGGGCATTCCAGGCCCGTGCAAACCGAGGCTCAGTGATGAGGACCCCGGGGTCCCCAGGCCTGGCTGACTCTCTCCTGCCATCCCCAGAGCTGTCCTGGTTCCAGACCATCGGGGAGTCGGCGCTGGGCGTGGAGCCGTTCTCCTACCAGGGGGAGCCCCACATGGTCCTGGCGCAGCCGTTCGCTGGCCGCTGCCTGATCCTCACCTGGGACTACAGCCTGCAACGCTTCCGGCCTGAGGAAGAGCTGTCCGGTGAGCTGCTGAGCCCGCCCAGTCCTCCCTCCTGCCCCCAGGAGCCCGCCTGACCGGGCCCTGCTCCCCACTCCTCCACAGCGCCCTCCGTGGTGTCCTGCAAGCCGCTGGTGCTGGGCCAGCGCCTCTTCGTGCTGGTGGCCCGCCTCTGGGGAGGCTCGCAGCTGTGGGCCCGGCCCCGGCCTGGCCTGCGCCTGGCGCCCGTGCAGGCCCTGGCCCCCCGGCAGCTGCTGCGGCCCAATGATGCCGAGGTCCTGTGGCTGGACCAGCAGCCCTGCTTCGTGGTGGCCGACGCCTCCAAGGCAGGCAGCTCCACCCTGCTGTGCCTCGAGGGGCCGGGCTTTTACCCACGCCAGAGCCTGCATGCCTGGCACCGGGACACCGACGCCGAGGCCCTGGAGCTGGACGGCCGGCCCCACCTGCTGCTGGCCTCCGCCTCCCAGCGGCCTGTGCTCTTCCACTGGTCCGGGGGCCGCTTCGAGAGACGCACGGACATCCCCGAAGCCGAGGACGTCTACGCCACACGCCACTTCCAGGCCGGTGGGGACGTGTTCCTGTGCCTCACGCGCTACATCGGGGACTCCATGGTGAGTCGGGGCTGACTGGCCGCCGGCCCCCTCCCCGCGCCCCCACGCACTCAGCGCTGGCTTTTCGGGATGACCACCCAGTGTACGCCCAGCTTTCCCCGCTCACCCCGCCTTGCACACTGGCCTCTCCACTCTACTTGGTCTCCCAGACTGACCGCTACAATCTGACCCCCCCCAGTATGCTGATCCTTGACCTCTGACCCGCGCCCCAACACTGACTCCAAGTCTGACCCTTCCAGGATGGCTGACCCTTAATTACCCCCCCACCCCAGCACTGAGCCTGGCCCCAACATTTTGATTCCACCCACAAATTTGAACACTGTAACCCCCACACACATCAAGACTTTAACCATGGCCACACATGGGAACCCCCAAGGCAGATGGTCCCCGCCTTCCAACACTCTCTGGAGTGAGGTGTCGGGCTCCAAGGCTGGAAGGCACTGAGGAGTTCACATGCTAAAGTGTGGGTGCAGAGGCGGGTGCGGGGGGTGCCGAGGGGTAGCTGCTGTGATGCCCAGGAGGGAGGCGGCTGGAGTGGAGGTGGGGGGCCCTGACCATCCCCGGGCCAACCCGCAGGTGACTGTGTGGTGTGAAGGTAACAGAGGCAGGTGACAAGAGCGACTCTGAGTTTGGGAGGTGACATTCAGGAAGACACGGGAGCTTCAGGAGCTAGGGGCTTGTCCCCAGCTGTTTCGAGACCCCCAAAGCCCAGAGAAGGGTGGGGGCCCGCCCCGCCTGCAGGCCCTGACCAGCGGCCACGCTTGCAGGTCATGCACTGGGACGGCTCCATGTTCCGCCTGCTGCAGCAGCTGCCCGCCCGCGGTGCTCACGTCTTCCAGCCGCTGCTCATTGCCAGGGACCAGCTGGCCATTTTGGGCAGCGACTTCGCCTTCAGCCGGGTCTTCCGCCTTGAGCCCGACAAGGGGCTCCTGGAGCCACTGCAGGAGCTGGGGCCGCCCGCCCTGGTGGCCCCCCGGGCCTTTGCCCACATTGCCACCGCTGGTAGACGCTTCCTCTTTGCTGCTTGTTTCAAGGGGCCCACACAGATCTACCAGCATCACGAGTTAGACCTCAGTGCCTGAGACGAGGGAACCTGCATGTGGCTGGGGGGAGGCAGGCTCAGAGGGTCCCCGGCCTCCGGGCGCCCCTCATACTGGCTCCTGGCCCTCTTGGGGGCGACGGCTGGACCTCGATTGCAGGTCAAGTTCAAGGCAAGTGCTAGCTGCCCTTCCTGTCTTAAGCAACACCTTTGCAGGTGCCCCCACCAAGGGTGACCTGGGGCTCAGGCTGGGACACGGCACAGAGCCCGAATACAGAAGTCAGGTGGGGGTACTTTTTGCAGAACCCCGTGAGATCCGTAAGTGCCCCACTGCCCCCCAGCTCCTGCTCGCGGTGAAATTACTAGCGTCCTTTCTCCCCGGCACTCAGTCTGGCCAATCGCGTTCGGTGCCCGCCTCCTGACGTCATCGGTTGCTAAGCGGTTTCCCTGCTGCGCTGGCAAACTTCTCTGCACTTGTTGCGCGCCAGCCAGCTGCCTTGGCCGAGGCCAAAGCTCGTCCTCTCGCTCGAGCGCAGGGAATAAGTGGGTGCCCCTTCTCGAGGGTGACTGGGCGAGGACAGAAAGCGTGTGAACTCAATAAACGCGCCGTTCCCCTGCCCCCGGCCGTTTTTGTGAGCTCCTTGGGAGGGGTGCGCCATATGGGAGCCGGGCATGGAGTGGGGGCTTGGGGGGGGGGGAGGTGCGAATAGGGAGTGGGGGTGTGTTTTAGCTGTTGTTAGGGCACAGCGTCTCTAAGGTGTGGCCTCGTGATTATCAGGAGACTCTGGGATGTTGGAGACTTAAAGGCATTAAGAGCAGGTCACAGGTTTATTGTGGGTCTTCTTGAGGTCACGTCTGGCAGCTGTCGGAGACAATATTGAAGGGTTTTATGGGTGGCTCATGGGGACATTCGGGAGGTCTTCCTGGTTATAAGGGAGCCTCAAGGCTCGGAGGTTCCCATACCACGTGACCACTGGATTTCATGGGGAATTACCCACACACCTAAAAGGGACATCTGGACATTAGGAAGGGTATTCTCTGATAAACTGGGATCTTGGGGTGACTGGGAGGGCTTGGGGTGTTGTGTAACCATAAGCTATCCCGATACTCATGCTAGGATGATCCCACACCCCAAGTTTTTCTGGGGTGGCCCCAGTGTTGCTCCGCTTAGGACTCCCTGGCCCTCTCAAAAGTGCAGTGCTGACCACTCTGTCCACCTAGTCACCAGAGAACAGCCCTGGGCCTCTCCCAACCGAAACGTGACTGCCAGCTTCCATGCCAGCACCCCGTTTCACACCCAGCTTCTGCTGACCCCCAAGCCCACCCCAGAGCCCACATAGAGAGTCTTGAGGCTGTTTGGGCAGAAGGCAAGGCCATTTTAGATAAAAAAAAAATGTTGAGCAGAGACCCCTCTTTGGTCAGAGGCAGGCAAGGTCCTGGCGAAGCCGTCTGAGGAGAGGAAGGAGAATTCCGTCCTGGGGTCCCGCTCCACACAGCGCTAGGACTCGGGGGGGAAGAGAGGACCGGCTGTGCTCTCTTATCCGCCCTCAACAGTTATTGGCGGAGCCTAGGGGAGGGGTGGAATCAGCTTGTGAGAGTGGGTGGATTGTTTCCAGAATTCCAACAACCCTCATCTGTGCTCCCGGAAGCCCCATTCTGCCCATGTCTTACCTGGGGTGATGAGCGGCGGGGTTTCCCCTGGATGGTGGCTGGGGAATAAAGCAGTGACCATCTGTTCCCCCCTTCCGCCCTCTCCCCCAGGCTAGAGCATTCTCAGCCTCCCCTGACTGGGCTTCTGGCTCCCTTTCCATCCCCAGGGGGCTAGATATCCCAGGACAAAAGTTTCTCAGGACTCAGGGCGCTGAGGATCATCAGCTGAGAAGCCTGGACCCCCGGAGTGCAGCTTTTTCACTCCTGCAAGGGGAGGCAAACTGGGGGGCTGGGGAGGCCTCACCTGGGCTTCTGGCTGAACTTGCATTTGCATTTCCCACCTGTTAGGGGAAAAGGGGAACGTCAGGAGTGGGACCCCAGCCCCACCCTGCCCACCCCCTGTGGCCCCAGCTCCCCACCCTGCCCACCCCCTGTGGCCCGTCCACTCACTCATGAGGACGATGATGCCTGTGGCGCACAGAACCCCTGCGCAGATGAGCCCGCCCACCCGGAGGCTGTGCCAATCTAGGAGAGACCCAGAGATCCCTCAGCGCCTCCTCAGCCTGCTCACCGGCCCCCTGGACCAGCAGAGGCTGGGCGTGTGTGCCGGGCAGGCACCGGGGTACAGCAACGGGGTGAAGCACAAACCCCAGGTCTCCTGTGCCTTGTGCTTGTTTACACAAGGACAGGAGACTCCAAGGCAGTCAGGTGGAGATAAACAATCTGGAAACAAACAGGGTTGGGCCCGTCTAGGGCAGGGGGGCCTCTCTGAGGGGCCTGAGTAGGGGGAGGGGCCCTGGGGTGCCAGGAAGGAGGTGCCCCCACCATCACAAGGTACAAAGGTCTGGGGCCAGAGACTCCCTGCCGTGGCAGCAAGACCTGTGGCCTGGCACAGCGAGCCGGGAGGAAGAGGCTGGGCAGAGAGGCCACGGGGCTCTCCCAGCACTTGATCTGAACCACGGCAGCAGCCTCTGGTAACTTGTCTTCTTTCTGTGTGTCTCTCCTGCTGGTCTAGAATCTTCCCAAGCACCAGGCTGCACCTTCCATTCCTTTCGTCCACCATGACCATTCAGAGCCCGGACCAACCTCTCGCTGGGGTGCCCCTGTCTGGCCCCAGTCAGACTCACCCAGCCCTGGAACCCTCAGCACAGAATGACTCAGGATGAGGGAGGGGAAGGGAGGGGAGGGGGGAGAACCAGCTCTCACCATAGTAGAAAGGACTGTCCTTATCTGCAAGGAGAGGAAAGAGAACTTGAATCCAGGGCTGTGGGGGAAATACAGGGGGCAGGGCCTGGGCAGGAATCAGGTCTCACCTTCTGGGTCATTGGCGTCCAGGGCAGAGAGGCCTGGGGGTGGGGGGCGGGGAGAACAGGGAGGGTGGTCTCAGCAAAGGAGTGGGCAGGGCCACCCAGCCTCAGCTGCACCCCCAGGCCCCATGACTCCCCCCGCACCTGTAAGCCACCCCAGCCATGGCTGCCGCACTAGGATTTAATCTGGGTGGCTTCGGGCCAACACGTTTGGCCCTGATGTTTCCAGACCTGCCGAGGCCGAGTGTGTTTGAGCGAGATGACAGATGGTGTCAGTGACAGGTCTTCTAGCCGGTGTCTCCGGCTCCGCCCGCTCTGACATTTGCACACCCTTCCCCTTTAAGGCGAGGCGCTAATCATGAACCCCCACCTTACAGGCAGGCGGGGAAACTGAGGCTTCACTGGCCTTATTTTAATCTGTGACTGTACCCCACCGCCCTGAATGGGATACCACGTTAGCCTGAGGTAATGCATGAAAACCCGGACAAGGGTCCAGTTCTGGCGGAAACAGCAGCTGCTCAGCTCCGGGCCACGCTCGGGACTTTGATCAGGGAGCTTACTGATTTTTATTATATTTAAAGCACAGACACGGTGTTCCCGCGGTCCCAGCTTTCCACACGCCATTTCCAACACCTTCACGGTTGGTCTCTCTACACATAGGTGCCTTGGGGCCCCATTTATAGTCGGGGAAACTGAGGCACGTAGGTTTCCTGAACTTGCTACGGAACCGTGGGTCTCCCCCTTACCTCCCTCTGAAAGGGTTGGGGTACGCTGAAGCCACAGGGCTGGGGCGGAGCCTTCTTGATGTCCTGGAGACATCAAGCCTCCTCTGTGTGGCCTCTCCGTAAGAGGCCTCCTCTCCACAGATCCCGTGAGCTCACCCACCGGCCCCTTTGTAAGCACACGGGGTGCCCCTGACAATCAGCACCCCACTCCGGGGAGGCAGAGCGGGAGAGAGATGCTCAGGGCCTGGTCGCTCCCCTGGGGTTCTGCTGGGGGTTCCAGGGAAGGCAGTTGGCGGATAAGTGCTTACCTGCCAGGAGGACCAGCAGCCGCAGGGCCACAGCGTCCATGTCAGGCCTCGCCTGGCGGGTCAAGGGGAGGGTCCAGGTTGAGCAAGGCCGCCCGCCGGACACTGGGGCTGAAGCTCTGGTGCCGGTTTCCTCCCACTCGCTCCCCACCCAGGGTGCACAGTGGCCTCAGGGCAGAAAGCTGGCATCCTGGCAACTCACTGGGCTGGGAGTGGAGCCCCAGAGTGGGGTGGGGGCGGGGCGTGCACACACCCGCAGAGGGAGACTCGGAATGGGGTGTTGAGTGAACCCCCTCCCCTGCCACAGGTGAGGGAGGCGCTGCCGCTCGTGACCCCCGCCTTACGGACGGGGAAACTGAGGCTCTGAGAAGGGGAGGAGTGCCCAGGGTCACCTTGCCAGGAGGTGGTATTTACATGGTGGCTCTGCTTGGCTGTTGCCAGCTCAGGACTCTCAGGGCCTCGGGGTGTTTTGGGAAAGGGGTGGGGGAGGCAAGTGGCAGGAGGCCCGGGTTCCTGGGAGTGTCTCCCACAGACAGCTCGGAGCCTGCCGGCCCAGCCCACACTCTGCAGCCCTGGGCCCCCCAGGCTGCTGGCTAGGGAGCGGGGCCTGGGAGGGGTGGGGAGGGCTGGGAGAAGAATGGGGTCTGACTCCTGCCACCTGTTTCTGCTCTGCCTCAGCCCTCTCACGCCCCCCCACACCCCCTCGCCCTTCCCGGAGCCCCCCAGTCTCCCAGCCCCAGCTCCTCGCCCCTCCCCCAGCCTCACCCCTACCCAGCTAGCCCAGCTCCAGCCGGTTAGCTCCTCCCAGCAAACATTTCCTCTTTGCCACCAGCACTCCTCTTCCTCGAGGCCAGCCCAGCACCACACTCCCCAGCACCTTCCTCAGCTCAGTCCCTGCCCCACCCCCAGCTTCTGTGCACCCCTGCGCTGTCCCTGCCGGGGCCATGGCCCTGCCACCATCCCAAGATCTGGCCGACTCACGCCCCCGAGCCAAGGCCCCCCCACGCGACCTTGCCCATTTCCACTGTCTGCACCGGCCAGCCCAGGTCACCTGTGATAGCTGATACCTGCAGCTCACTGGTGGCCGTGCTGTGCCCCCAAGCCTGCTGGGTCACTAGGCTCCTGCCAAAGCGGGAGAGTGTGCCCGCCTCTCCCTGCCCTCCTGGGAACCCCAGGTCTTTTTCTGCTTCCTGCATGTTTTCACTCCCTCCCCCCATTCTCCCGGGGCACACCCCAGGTCCAGGGCTGGATATCCTTTCTTGCTTGTCGCTTCAGGAGCACTGCTAAGGTGTTTAGGGCCCCACAGAGTTCTGGGGGGGCTGGAATGTGGGCAGGACAACCCGGTGGTCCTAGGTGAGGCCTAGAAGGACCTGCTATCTGGAGTCACCTCCTGAGGCCTTGACACCCCGAAGTGACACCGATGCTGGTCATAGGAGGCAAAGCCTGTGGGTACATGCCCACACTGTTCTCAGCTCTCCTGCTTATTTCTTGTAGAATCTTCGAGGCCTGAGGGATCAGGCTGTGATTAGCACCCCCCCAACCCCCACTGCTGTGGCACCCCTGGAGACCCGGGACCAGAGTCCCAGCTCCTATGCCTTTTCCCACGGGTTCCTCCAAACCCTCAGACCAGCAAGACCTCCTCCATGACGCCCCATCCCCAGGGCACCCCCAAACAGGTCTCAGCCTCACATTCCTAGCCTGCCCCGCCCCCCCCAGCCCAGGTTGGGGCGCTGATGCCTGGTTTCCACCCTCCCCCACTCAGGCTGTTGATGGAGGCCCCAGCTGCTGCCTGGGCTGGTGTTGGCCCAGCCTGCCTGCTCCCTCCAGCCCTGAGGTGCCCACACTGCCAGAGGCTGTTTCCACTGCCCACCAGCTGCCCTCCTCCCCAACCTGGCCCTACCAGGTCTAAGGAGCCCCATTTTATAGCTTCCACAGGAAGCAGCTGTCCCTGCCCAGGCCCACTCCAGCCCCAGGTTCCCTCCCGACTCTGGGTCTACCCAGTCAGCAACCGCATCCACTCTGACACCCCCATCCACCCTCTCTACCGCTCCCCACCCAGATACCCCCCAATCCAGATACTTCTGGCCCCCTCAGATACCCCTTGTCTAATCAGGCTTCACTTGGGGGTCTTACACCCCAGCCCGAGAGGAGAATGATGGGGGCAGAATAGCATTAGGGGCTTTCTTTCATCTCCTGTCCCCCCAAAATAAACCTTTCCAGGGCCCTTCCCAGCAGAGGTGCTGTGTGGCCAGGGCAGAGATATTGTGAGCACAGAGCCAAGAGCGGGGCTCAGGGAGGGGGCCCCAACCCTCACCTGTGAGGCTCACCAGGCAGCCAGGAGGTTCCGAGTGGGCTGCAGCCGCCTCTGGGCCTGCCTTTATCCAGCCACGCCCTGGGCAAACCTGGGCAGGTTGAGAACAAACCTCACTCCCCAGCTCAGGGGCGCTTCCCCCAGCTCTGGTCTTAAAGAGACAGCCGCCCACCCCAGGCTTCTCCTGGACCTCAGGCAGGTGTCCCCTGGGTCTCCCCTGGGTCTCCGAGGTCACAGAGGTCTCAGGTGGGGGGAGGGGGGAGGGGGCTGGTCCTCGCCCCTCACCTCAGGAGCCAGGCCTTTCTCCAGACTCCTGCCTCTCAGAACAGGACCAGGAAGGAGGAAATCTCGGGGTCCTCGACCCCTGTGGTGGGGTGGGGACAGTGCTGCGGGGTCACCTTGTGTCTTGCTGGGACAAGGCCTCGGTTACGCAGTTGCCACCTGGAGGCCCCTGTGGCTGGTGGCTACAAGGTCAGCAGAGATGCTGATGGGACCGAGGTGGGAGGTGGAGGCTGAGGGGGCCCGGGAGCGGGGGTGCGAGGGGGCCTGCTGGGCCATAGACGGGGCGCCTATAGCATCCTAGCGGGACTGGAAACACTCCTGAGCCCTAGGACAGACACTCCTAGCCTGGGCTCTCCCCAAGGCTGCTGGGAGCCAGAGGTCTGGGTCTGGGCCATGGGCAGGGGGTATTTCCGGGGTGGAGGGGGGAGGGGGGCTGCTTCCCACCCCATAAGCCTCTGCCCTGTGTGAGTCTCCCTTCCCTCCCCTCCTCCCCACCTGCCCCTCCTCTTCATGGCATTCCTTCCGGCTGGGGTCTGTGCAGGCCCCCACATGGTCCTCCTTGGGGTGCCCCCTTCCCCCAATTCCGCCTTTTTACACAGAGGGACTTTTGTCTGGGGGCTGGATGGAGAACAAGGCGCCTTTGAGTGGCTGGCGGAGGATTGGGGTCATGGGGAGGGGCAGGGCCAGGAAAGGGGTGGCTCTGCGCTGGCCACCAGCTGGGCTCCCTGCGACCCCCAACACCATCATGGGGGGTGGGAGAGCGGCCAGGAAAGGGTTCCACTGGGAGTGTGCAGTGCTGGACAGGGAAAGGGGGTTTTGATGTCAAGGTTCTGCTGGGTACCGTCTGCCGTGGGTAGGGAGAAAGGACCCCCCACTTTTCAGCAGGGAGGGACAGGGTGGCAAGGAATGCTTGTCCGGCTACAAGCTTTCTTTATGTGATTCCCTTGGGCAATACTTTCTCAATCCCAGGCTGTAGATGAGAACAAGCCCCCCCTCTTCGCACCCCAGTTAAGGAGGGGCTTGTCCTTACAAGGAGTGGCAGGGGCACTCAGGGTAGGACATGGTCAAAGCTGGACGTTCAGGGAGAGATGGAAACAGAGGAGAGGGCTGGAGACCGGAGGGAGCAGATCCCAGCCCAGCTGAGGGGGACTTGAGGGGCACTTGAGTCGGGACAGACAGCGCCGCTTGCCCACAGACGTTAAGGTCACTAACTCCGGGAAGACCCTTCCGTGGGCTCCGGAGTAGAGTGGTGTCGCCGTCTGCTGGTAAGCTCAGGAACTGCAGGTGTCAGGGCCCCATTCAATAGATGGCGGTGGGTGCGGGAGGGAACTTAGTCCTTCCCTCGTTCTGAACCTGCAAACTTCCATGGCAAAGGGCCAGGTGGAGGAACCCAGCGGGAGAATACCCCCACTCCTCTCTGGATTCTGGATTCTGGTTGAGCAAACAGTTTAACATCTGACAGACTCAGCGGAGAAAAGGTTTCATTACACACGTGGAGAATTGACACGGTCAATGTCGTACACCCTAACATACACCGGACAGAGGAAAGGCTTCTGTTCTTGAACTAATGAATGGGATGGGGCGTCGAGGAGAGCGGAGGGGTCTCATGTGGCCGGGGAAGGATGCCTCTTGACGCAAAACCAGAGGCTGCAACACTTGTCCTGCTTTAAGTTGGTTCCTGTGATTCAAAAAAAAGCCACTTCTGGAGGTGACCCTAATTCTGGGAGCTCTTCGTTTTCAAGGTAGTGGTAAGAGTTCCGCTCCAAGCCGGGAATGTCCCCACTGACCTTGGTCTACTTATCAAGGGGACACATAGCAACAAAAGCCTGCTCTGAGCATCTCCAGGGCCTGCCCGAGTCCAGCAGTCCAGGAGTGTGATCGCAAGGCTCTGGGGGCCTCTGGGTGTCATCTTGTGTGAAAGCTGCCACCAAAACCTCGAATGAGCTCGTGTGAACCCCAAGAACATCTCCCAGAGAACTTTGGTGTGGAGTGCTGTCTTTATTTCTTTTAAGTTTTACCCATTTATGCATACAAGAACTGGGGTTCAGGTCAGAGGTATGGGGCGTGAGAGGATTCACCAGAGACAGAGTGGGGAGCAGAACCAGTGGACTGACTGAAATACACTGCTGAGGGGAGCAGCGGGGAGACAGGAGAGGCTTGCTGCACCATGTAGGTCACCTCCCTGGCCGGGGATCGAACTCACGCTGCAGTGACTGCCAATAGGTTGCTCGTGCTGAGGCTTTACCCCTTGTGCCACCAGGGAGGCCCCCATGTGCTATCATTTTTGAGGAGGAAAACCAAATACTTGTGCACGAAAAAAAGCATTGTGCAGTTTGGTGGCCAAAGTGGGGCACTCAGAGGCTGTGGGATGGGGTGGGCAGGAGATTCACTCATCATCGAGTCCCCGGCATCCCTTTGCATTTTATGTCCTGGAAAGATCCTACCTTGGAAAAAGGTTTGATGGAAAAATGAAGGACTAGTCTTGCTCTACCCGGTTCCAGCCAATGATTTTTACTTAATTATGCATGCAAGAACTGGCCTGAGGTACAGGGGTGGTGAGAGGATTCACCAGAGACAGAGTGGGGAGAGGAACAAGTGGACTGACTGAAATCCACTGCTGAGGGGAGCAGCGGATGAGACAGGAGAGGTCTGCTGAGCCCTGTGGGTCACCTCCCTGGCCGGGGATCCAACTCCTGCTGCAGTGGCTGTGGTAGCTTCATAGTGCTGTGCTTAATCTCTTGCACCCCCAAGGAGGGCCCAAAATAATGTATTTTTATATCTTTATATATCTTACACATATACATTTTACACATATATGTATCTTTTGTATAGAATGTATATTTACATCATTAATATCTTTTATATAGGTAATATTTTATATATAAATATGCTGTGCACATTTGTTATATGTTATGTAGATAACAAAATTTTTCAAAACGTTTCCTCTTCGTTTTCTATTTGAAGTCGTTTGTCTTGAAGAACATGCCCGGACTGTGATTGGCTGTAATTTCTCAGTGTACTGGGAATTCTTGTAAAACGACAAGCCCTACAGGAAGCTTCTGAACCTCCCGAAACTTTCAGGAACCCTGAGTTAAATACAAAGTCCAGGCCATTGGCATGTCACTGATGCAAAGTTGTATTCATTTTGGTGTCATTTTAATCCTCGCCTTGGTTTCCACAGGTCCCTGGAGAATTTACCGTGTCCAGAAGATCCCGTGAGGGCCTGGAGCGGGAGACACCCCAGCCATGAGAGGGGGCTGGGGGCCCAGGACCCTGACTGCCCAGGTTGAAGCTGGTAGCTGGGGGCTGAAGCCAGGGGTGCGGTGAGTTCCCAGGGGTGCGTGGAGGGGTAGAGCAGGAGCTGGCGGGGGCCCAGGCTGTGTGGTGGGCATGGCACCGCCCCCCCGCTGCCAGGGAGGGGTGCACAGAGGGCCACAGTGTCCAGCGCTCATGAACTCGCTTGCTGTTGACACGTCAGTGACTTTTCATGTCCTTGCACGAGGGGCCAGATGAAATGTGCGCAGTGTTTGACTCAGGCCCTGTGGTCACCAGTGGGAGCCCCTCATTTTAGGCACTAGGCAAAGTGGGGGGAGGCCCAGGTCCCGCCCCCCCACCCCGGGTGTGCTCCAGCCGCCTCTGCCCCCAGGCTTGCTCCTGTCTCAGGGCCTCTGTCACTGCTGTTGGCTCTGCCTGGGCTCTTTGCCCACCAGTCCACGCAGGGCCCGTCCACAGGCGTCTGCCCACGTGGCCCCCGACCACCCTATTTAAAGTCACGGGCACCTTCTGGCCTTTCCGTGTCCTCCTGGCTTACTGGTCTTCAGAGCTGCTCTTTGGACCTTCAGAGAAAGCTGCTCTTTGCGGTTTTAGTTCTGGCCTCTCCCGCTCACAGGCCTGCTGACGGCCCAGCGGGGGATTTCACTGAACTGGACAATCAGTCCTGTCACGTGGTCGCTGATAAGTAAGGGGGGAGGCCAACAGGGGGTGGGTGGGGTGCTGAGGGCGGCTGCTGAGGGGGGCACAGGAAGACCCATATGGCGGGGCCAGACTGGGAATGTCAGGCTGAGACCTGTTTGGGGGTGCAGCAGGCTCTCCAGCAGGGCTGTGCACCCCTGGGGTGGGGCCTGGGGCTCAGAGGGGCGCTGCAGCCTCCACCCAGCCTGCCTTAGTCCCCAAGACAAGGCCGTCAGACTGGCAGCCAGGGCCCACCCAGCCCTGTTTCACACAGGGCCGCGGCCTTTACACGTGACCGGTCTGCAGAACTGGCTGCTTTTCCAGCCCTCTAGAGAAGCAGTTGCTGGAGGGTCAGGTCTGTCTCCCCCCAGGTGACCCAGGCCCTCGTCCTTGGTTTGAAGCTTTGGGGGAGGCAGTGCAGGAGAGGGGGGCCCTCTGTGGCCCCAAGCCTGCCATGATGCACAGGCCTGGACAGGTCCTCTGGGACAGGGCGCCCCTGGAAGGATTCCCAGGGCGTCACCCAGTCAGCCGGTTGCCAGGGCTGGTGTGTGTGTGTGTGTGTGTGTGTGTGTGTGACTGCACTGTGGTAGCTTTTCTGCATTTAGAAAAGTTCAAAATAAAAGTTTGGGAAAAGGTCATGAAAACGCTTCAGTTGAAGTCAGCACAAAGTGATAAATCACAAGATAAAAGAGCCAAGGCTTGGGGTGAGGGAAGTCGATGCAGAATCGGATCTTCCATGAGTTAAATAAACAGAATTGAACTGCGCTCAGGGAATTCCGCGTCTGTAGAGTAGATCCGCCAGTCTTTGCTGTCTGTCCGCCACCCCCCATGTCTTCCCTGGCAGGGGCTCATGG